ATATGTTTTTGTATGCAGGTAGTAAATAAACTTTTCTTTCCTATTTTTTTTTTTTTTTTTTTTTGCCTTTCCTCTTTTTAAAACACGAATCAGCCCTTGTGTTTCCACTTCCCCAAATGATCCTGCCACCCACTGGCCATCGTTCACTAAAATACCATCTCCTGAGAAGATCTACAGAATCCTGCTGCTTCTGCTTATACTATGAGTTATTCTGACTCGCCTCACTCGTTACGTTGGTTGTTGAAGCCTGAGGTGGAGATTCTCAGTGGCAGGGCCCCTTGTTCTCTTTTGGGTCCCAAACACATGACAATGAGAAGGAAGTAACTATTTAATTGGATGGCTTAATGGCACAGACCAGTTAGTATTGGAGAGAGTTGATGAAACCAGGGCTTCTCAGCAGTCTGAAGAGAAGCTGGCGAGGCTTAGAGGTAGCTGCCTCTGACCTTTAAGTTACTGCTGGTCAGAGCCATGTGAGCAGCAGTTCTGTCATGCTGAGGGCCACGGGGCCACAGCATAGAAGGAAAACAGTTTTTCCAATTTAAAAAAGCTATTTACAAAGGGAATCCAGCTGAGAGTAGTGGCACATGCCCATAATTCCAGCATTCAAGAGGCTGAGGCAGGATTGCTGCAAGTTTGGGGCTGTCTGGGCTGTATAGTGAGTTAAAGGGCAGCCTGACAGACCCTGTCTCAAAAAAGGGGGATCAAAAGCTAGATAATGCAGCCTTGAGCCTTGCTTCATGTCTGATCTTTTTCAGCAATCTAATCTCCCCTCACTGAGAACTTGGACATAAAGGCCCAGTCTGGTTCTCAGATGCCTTACTGTGTGGCCCAGTTCAATCACAGTGAACAAGCAGTTGTCTGTGTGCACTGATTTCTCACATCAGGTGGCACGGGTTGGGAGCATCTGTGTTTGACAGAATGCTTTGCTGTGGTCTGGCAGCATGGGCTGGAGGAGATGGAGATGAACTTGTGAACATTAACTGTACTCGTATATGGCAACTGAAGGCATGTTCATCATGCACGTTTGGAATGTATATGTGGGGGGTCCCATGGAGTGTCTATTGTTGTGGGTGCAGTGATGGCAGTGTTGCCATGCTCAAGCAGGTACCGAGGCTGCTCATGTGCTTGGCCACCCCTTCAGCAACCATCCACTCACACCCAGTCTTGTTCCATCTGTTCCTTTCCTCACTACCCCTTACTTACCCTGTATAATTTTAAGCAAATCCCAACTATCACTTAGTCCATATGTAGTTGATGTGATTTTTTTTTTTTTCCAGTTCTAGGGATCAAACTCAGGACCTCGCACTTTTGAGGCAGGTGTGGTGCCACTGAGCTAAATCCCTGGCCCTGATAAGTGATTTTTGAATGGATAGGTGAAGGTGAAGAAATAGGCATCCTATTTTTTAGACTTGAAGAAAAAGACTTTAAAAAATGGGCAAATGTCTAACTCTTGGGACATGAAAGAACTCTTGCATCTCTCCTGGGGCCGCATCAGATGAGTGTTGGCACTAGTTTTTAATCTTACTGGATTCTAGAGAGCGACAGATACTGTTTTACAAGACTACACCTGGAAATGCAGCACTGTTCTGTCTGGATGTGGCTGGGCAAAGTGTTGCCTACAGTCAATTACTTCCTTCCCTGAGCCATGCCATGCTAGTGCTGCCAAAGGCCTTCAGCCGAATGTCATCAGCACTGCTCAGCAGAGCACAAGAATCAGTGAGGGTTCAAAACTACTCACTCGACCTTGTGCAGACCCACTGTGTCCACGTCCCCAGCTGACTGTGTTCCATGACAGGGAGACCCAGGTTACAGATGTGTGAAGATAAAGATGAGACCCCAACCTCGGGCCCAGACAAGTGCACTGCCGAGAAGTGCGCACTAGTGGGAGAAGCACGGTGTGGAGCCTGTGGAGCTCGTGGAGCCGGAGCCTCACTCAGGCTGCCCCCGCCTGGGTTTCAGCGGTCCGTAGCCGACTGCCACCTGGGGTGGTGTCCCTGCCAGTGCTCATGGCTACTCCCCAGCACACAGAAGCAGGACCACGAATGTGGCCATCAAAGGTGACACCTCCAGGAGTGTCGGGGGACGGAGCTGTGAGGACAAGAGGCTGGAAAGGACAGGAGCCTCGGGCTCCATGACGTCTCGTGGTCTTGAAGATGCAGCCCCAGGATTGGAAAGGGCAGGGACTCAGCATAGGCTTCTCAGGACGTGGGTGTGGGCAGGGATTTCCACACCAGGGCCCCTCGTGCTCTGAGGTCTGGATTGCAGGAAAGGAGGGTGATGGAAGGACAGACAAGGAACACATCTGATCACACAGACATCATCCCAGCTGGGCACGGTCTCAACACTGTGGTCCAGCTGCTGGGAGGGCTGAGGCCGGAGGATCACTGGAGCCCAGGAGTTCAGGGCCAGCCTGGGAAGCACAGGAGACTCCATGTCAGTCAATCACCCCAACCCATCTGACAGGAGCTTAGAGGCCAGTGTTAGGGAAGTGTTCAGAGGGGTGGTCTTGCCCAGGCTGGGCCATGGCTGACTTCTCCCCTTTAGCTGCCTTCCTGTGAGTCCTAGGAATCACTTCAGCAGCTGAGCTGAGAGCAGCTGAGCAGGGGGCACTGCCACCCTGCCCTGGGCCAAAGCCTGCTCTCCAGGCCCCAGCCTTGCAGGTCCCTTCCTGGGCACTGGAGTCCTCGCTCCTTCCCTGAGTCACCTGCTTTTGCATTGTGACCCCCAGGGCCATGATGTCAGCCTTCACTCTGAACTTTGGTCAAGCGCTCTGCTCCCTGAGGACAGGGCTGCTCAGTGGACAGCCCTGCCCGGCATTGCTGCTCTCCAGCCTGGGGCACGGGGCTGTGTCACTCTCTCCATCTGTAACTGGAGCTTGGTGACACAGCTCTCGGAGCTGGCCCGGCCCTGAAGCCTAGGTCCCTGGACTGAGGGGAAGCGTGGAGAGTGGGGTTGGAGGACAGACCCTTCACAGCCCCTCCTTCCACGCTGCCATCAGGACGGTGACACTGGGCACAGAGGACGTCCTAGTTCCCTTTGCATCCGGGCTGCCTCTGCTCCCACCCTCAGCAGACCGTCAGGGTCCCCAGGAGCAGCCTCCAGCAGGAGGGACAGGGCTGGTGACTGTGCAGCTCACCTTCCTCGGCCTCAGAGACTGTTGAAGTCTCACCGGGAGTGGATAAGGCAAAACCCAGAGCGAATGTGCAGTGGATGCGAGCCCTGAGGAGACACCGGGAGCTGCAGTGGGACTGTGTGAGGGGTCACCTATCCACGGGTCGCAGACTGCCTGGGTGTGGGACACCTGAGCTGCCCACAGGGCTGCCTGCCTGCCCCCTTCCCCACAGCCAGGCTTCTCCACGGACACAGTCACTGTCCCAGCCTTGAGTCGGGCCCGTGCTGAGGCCGGGCTTCCTCACACATGGTGCTGAGAGGAGGGCTGAGTGGAGTGTCGAGGAGCTGCCTGGCGGGCCTGGCCTGCTGTCCGCAGGGAGGGAGCCACCAAGGCCAGCTCAGGCTTGTCCTGAGTGCGGGCACATGCTCACCCACTGCCTGGGACACCGGTGGGAGGTGGCTTCCCAGGCCTGTGTGTGACATGAGCGCCTGTGGCCCGTGGTCTCTGCTCCTCTTTCCTCCTCTGCTCTCGGTGCACTGACCCCTGCCACTCTTGCAGGCGCTGTTTTGAAATCCCAGCCTCACTGGGCCATTCCAGCCCTAAGACAAACATCTGTGCAGATGTGGCACCTGGCTCCCAAGTCCTGTCCATGTGCACTGTAATAGGTACACAGGTGTGGGTCACCCGGACCCCGCCTTCAGGTCCCTTTGCAGGTGGATCCTACTGAAGCACACCTTCCCTTGCCAGCACTGAGAGGGCACAGGCCCCATAGGTGGTGCAGGGCAGAGCCAGCCTGGGAGGTGGCAGGTACCCCAGGTGTGTCCCCAGCAGGGGAGCAGCATCCACTGGTCTCTCCAGCTGCCCAGGCAGAGTGACTCAGGGGGGCGGACATTCCCCAGATCCTCTGTGGGCCCCTGCATTCCACTCATGTCTGCTACCCACCTTTGCTCCTTTGGTGTGAAACTGGCCTTCTGTTGTGTGCACTCATGGCAGAGATGGGGTTGTGCTGAAGAAAACAGTAAGTGCTCACGTCACACTCAGACACAGTGGGGCTTCCCAGGTGCTGGGCATAGAGTTTCCGCTCAGAGGAAGCAGAGGCCCTGGGGGTGGTGCCCAGCAGGGAGAATGCACTTACTACCCCTGCACCATCACTGCAGAAGGCAGCAGGGAATGTGTATGGATGTGTATTCTACCACAGTTATAACCTTTCCACAAGAGACAGGCAGAGAGGGAGAGAGACAGAGGATGAGACAGGGTTTGAGCAGCAAGGATCAGATGCTATGGTTTGGGACAGCTGTGACTTTCCTCTTGCTGTGTGCATGGAGCCGGATGACACTCCCATACCTTGTTATTCCCCTGGCAATAGGGACCAGCAGGACAGGACCACAGCCCCTGGGTGCCACTGATCTGAGCCTGCCTGGGCCAGTCTCCACAGCATCTGACGGCGGGAGGTCCTTGGCAGATGTGGGCAGAGGAGCCATCTGCTGGACATAGCCCGTGAAGGTCTGACTTAGGTCCCCAGTGCTGCTCTAATATGGTCCTTGCTGGAACATGGGACCAGGTCTAGAGTGAGGCTCTTGACCGGCCCCTCATCCTCATCCTGGGCAAGGGGTGGAGTGTGGGGTTGAGGTGCTCAAGACATTCACATGTTCACTTGTCTTTTTGCTTGCCACAAGGGGCACTGGCTGGCAGTAGCTTGGCCTCTGAATGATCTAAATTGGGCTTTTCACAACTATGGTGCTTGGAAAGAATGTATCTGAGCTGGCTCTGAAAATCCTTGTTTGTCCTGTTCTGACTAGTGTCTCAGCCCCTGAGAACTTCTGGGAAGATGGCAGAGTGGTGAGCAGCAGAGAAAGAGACTCTCTGAGATCTGGTGTCCTGACATTGGAATATAGCAGCATGAAGAGGAGAGAAGTGGGTTCCTGGGACCAGGAAGGATCTGAAATGAGAAACTGAAGTCCATGGGGAGAGTGGAGAGATACTTCAATGAAAAAGAGGAAGGTAGCAGGTGGTGCTTTGTCCTCGAGTCCAGACTCATGGCGTAGAAAGGGCAGGTCGAACCTGCAGACACATGGTGATTACTGGCGACCCCAGAGGCCTCCACGAAGAAACACACCTGTGGAACTGAGCAGTGGACACAGCTGACTGCAGTAGCTGGTGAATTATTCAGGTTCAGAGATGTCTCACCAAGGAGAGGACGCTTGGCCAGTAGCCATCTTGGAGAGGGGCCAACTGAGCTCAGAACTCAGAACACCTAAGGGCGGGCTCCATCTAGTGGCTCCTGGTGTCATGGTGAAGGTGCCAATCTCACATTGGCAGGAGGTCAGGAAGCGGAGTTCAAGTCAGCAGGAGGCACACAGATAGTTCTGGGCTCAATAAATCCAGTTCCAGCCTCATTGTCAGAAATAAGCGTGAACTTCAGTGGAACTGAAGGTCCAGGCTTGCTAGGAAATCTACAGCTTGCCTTCTGGGATTAAACAAGTGCATTTGTACTCTCTACCCCTGCTGTCTACCAGTGACAGCAGAGATATGCCGTGAATCGGACGTTTTTCTTTTTTTCCTTATTTTCTTTTTTCTCTTTTTTGGCTTTTGTTCTAGTTGTGTTCTGGTTTTAGATTGTTTGTTCTTGTTTTTACACAAGTGTGAACATGGTCTATTTTTTGTTGTGGTTCTGTTTTGTTCTCGTTTTTATTTTTTCCTTCTCTCTTTCCTCCCGTCTTCATCAGTTTCCCAAACTTTGTATTATCTTCCTTTGTGCTTCAGCCTTGCTTCTAATCTCTTCTATTTCTCTATTTTCCCCCCAAAACCCTTTTATTTTTTTTTGCTACCAGGGATCGAACTCGGGTCCTTGCGCTTGTCCAAAACCCTTTTAAAATCTTCTCTCCTTAGGGTAAAATCACCATTTTGAGGGCTTAATTATTGCATACAATTTTCTGGTTTTAGATTTTGTTATATAACCACAAATCTAGTTTATATGGTTAAAGGTGGCAAATTAATAGTTACCAGTTTGTCATTTTCTAGGCTGTGTTTGATGCTATAGTTACTGCTGACTGTACTTTAGCCAAAGTAACATAATTGTGTTAATCAGTTGTTCTTCCTGATATACCAAGGCTGAGATTGCCTAAGGATCTTGCAACAGACTCAAAACCCAAAAGCCAGCTAAACCTGGAAGACATCTCTGAGGAGTAGTCATTTCCTAAGGGTTCTGAATATTGACAATAAAGTTACTCGCTATAAGAAATCTACAGGCATCAACCCAGTAATTAAACTAAAAAAAGAAAATGAGAAGACACTTAAACAAGATTCAACACCCCCCACAACTTTCAGCTCACCAAAGGCAAACGCTGGAGGCAATGAGGTGGAACAATTCAAAAGCCACCCACCTGGACTCTCTGAAATGGTAACGAAAGAAGTAACACACCAGATGAATGAAGCTCTAGAAAAATTCAAAGCAGAAATAATTTCTCAGCTAACTAGAGAGATGGTGAATAGAATGAAAAACATACTTAGTGACTCTAGAGGAGATACAGAAAAAAAAAAAAAATAGAGGAGTTAAGGAAAATGATGGAAACCATGAATACCCAGTATAGGAGAGAAATGCAATCCATGTAACAGAGTTAAATAAGATAAACAGGAGATCAAAAATGCCATTGAAAGTATATGTAGTGGAATGAGCCAATGTGAGGACAGAATATCAGATATAGAAGACAGGACTGTGGTTAGCGATCAGGGAAAAAGAGTTCTTAAAAACAGCAAGGGACCATGAGAATCAATCCAGCAGCTGCTAGATGATGTAAAGAAGAGTAACATAAGATTGATCAAAGTCAATGAAAAGGCAGGAGACAGGATAAATAACATAAAAAACATATTCACAGAAGTAACGGCAGAAAACACCCCAAACAGGGAAAAAGAATTTGACATACAGGGCTGGGGATTTAGCTCAGTGGTTTCGCTGCCTGCTACGCAAGCGTAAGGACCCGAATTCGATCCCCAGTACCAAAAAAAAAAGAATTTGACATACAGATAAATGAGGCATATAGAACTCCAAATAGCCATGATCAAAAAAAAATAAAACTTCCCCAAGGAATGTAATAGTCAAGATTCCAGAAATTTAACACAAGAACAGAATAGTAAAATCTGTTAGAGAAAAGAAACAAATCACCTATAAAGGAAAGCCCGTCAGAATCACAGCAGACTTCTTAACCCAAACCCTCAAGTCAAAGAGACCTTGGAGTGAAGTATTTCAAGCCCTAAAGGAAAACAACCTCCAACCCAGACTGATGTATCCTGCAAAACTATCTTTCAAAATTGATGGAGAAATAAGCTACTTCCATGACAAAGAACACTTGAAGAAATTCATGAGTACCAAAGCAGCACTCCAAAGGGCTCCGAAAGATATTCTACAAAGAGATAACAAGGATTACAAGTCTAAGAACCACAACAAAATGAACCCACCAGGCAAGGCAGGAAATTAAAGAGTTGGGCCGGGGATTTAGCTCAGTGGTTCTGCCGCCTGCCTTGCAAGCACAAGGTCCCAAGTTTGATTCCTGGTACCAACACACACACACACACACACACACACACACAAAATTAAAGAGTAGGGCTGGGGATTTAGCTCAGTGGTTCCGCCACCTGTTTCACAAGCACAATGTCCAGAGTTCAATCCCCAGTACCCCTCTCCCCAAAAAAAGAAATTAAAGAGGAAAGAAGGAAGGCAACAGCAGAAAAATAACATGACAAAGGTAAGACAATACATATCAGTTAGAACCATCAATGTTAATGGTCTCAGTTCACCAATCAATAGAAACAGACTGGCAGAACCTGGAAAAAAGTAGGGGTAGCTATTCTATTTGCAGACAAAGTGGATTTCAACCCAAGACTAATTAAGTGATTCACCTGCCTCAGCAGCATAGTGCAGGAAGAGCTGGGGTGGGCTGGCTGCAGAACAGTTCCTGCCCTTACAGGAACCCCCACAGCTGAGAGTGACAGAACAGACTCTCCCGAGGAAAACCTCAGGTATTAGAACATTAGAAAGAGGGCTCTGAATTTGATCAAAATGCCATTGTAAAGGTCTTCTGTACATCATAGACTTTGCATTAGACCTGGATTTGAACTTTGGTTGTATGATTTTACACAAGGTACCTATTCTTTCCCTTTTATTTTTTTCCTCATAGCACAAGGCAGGCAATACTCATGTGAGCTCTCAGCAATCCACAGAGACCAGCACAGTGCCTGGCACAGGACAGGACCCCATCAACTTCGTCACCCCAAGCAGAAGTCATGGGTGGAGGCAGCCATATTTATGGACCGTGTCCTGCAGTCCTCAAATAGTTGGGGTCTTAACATGTAATTTGTGAAGTAGGACAAGTTCTTTCTACACTCCTGCTCATGTTAATTTACTCAGCAAGGGAAACTTGAAGGGAGCCAGGTCCTGACAGGTGTGGAGTGGAGTCACTTCCCCTGGCACCGCAGCCCTGAGCCTAGGCTGATTGCAGAGAAGAGCTCAGCCCTCTGCCTGGAATGTGGGAAGACAGGGAGTAGGGGACCCAGCCCTCATCACAGTAGACATTCCTCCAATTCCTGCTCTGCATCTCCCCCATTCCCAGCAGGACACCCCCCCTGCATACATAAACAAACATTCTCTGTGGACACGTAATGACAGGGTGGCACCATGGGGTGGTGGCCAGGGCTTGGGTTTAGAACCAGGAAGGTTCCCATGAGGTGCTGGTTCTGCCACCACTGAGAGCTCAAGTCATCTGAGGCACATTACTGGCACCTTGAATCCTCACTTTCCTCTTTTCTGCGGAGAGATCATCTCCTTTATAGTTTGTGCTTTGAGAGGAGCTGACACTGCTGAAGCTGACACTTTGCACACATGTGATGACACTCCTCAATGAACCCTGCAGAGGTCACAGTACAGGGTGGGAGGGTTCTGTGGGAAGGGTGACCTAGGGCAACTCAGGGAGAGCCTCCTGCCTGCACAGTGGCTTCCACCAGAGTGGGACTTCAGGTCAGTCAACGACAGGCTGGCCCTCCTACCCTAAAAGGATGAAAGGGTTCCTGCATTTTCCCTCAGCCTTTCTCTCTGCCTCACCCCCAGTCCTGGTGGAAACCAAGGGCTGCAGCTGGCAACAGGCAGACCTGTGGTGCAGAGCTGGGTAAGGAGACACCAAGAGTGGGGGAAGGTGCTCCATACACACACAACAGTGCCAGAAGCCTGAGAGAAACACTCAAGGACTTGGTGAATTCTCCTGCTTTCATTTATGCATGACAAGAATTCACAAGTAGCTTTTACAGAACTGAAACATGACAGAATTCCACTGGAATGAGAGGCTGTTGAACTCTCAGTCATCAAAGGGGGTGGGGGGCAGGCTTCCAGACTCAGCAGTCATGTGCTGCACAGAAATACCCTTAAATGGGCCGGGTATTTAGCTCAGTGGTTCTGCCACCTGCCTCACAAGCATAAGGACCCGAGTTCAATCCCCAGTACCCAAAAAAAAAAAAAAATTCTAGAAATACCCTTAAATGCCTCGTGCTGTCGGGTTCAGGAGACTCCTTGCAGGGCAAAGTTGTAAAGCAGTGTCCTCAGTGGTCCCAAAGCAGACACAACTGTAAAGGTGGCATGCTGTGCTTCTGAGGACAACAGAGAGAACCTACTTCCAAACATGCTAAGTGCCCAGCCAGTAGGGTAAGCTGATTTCTCATAGCCAAGAGGCACATGACTGGTCAGAGTGGGAAAATAACACCCCATTATGCCACAAGAAATCTCAGCTGCCAACCAAGAGGCTATGGGAGACTCAGGCCATGCACTGCAAAGATGAACGGTCCCCCTGGTCTGTGAGACCCCTAACCTGAAGGGCTAGAGCAGTCTTGGGGACAACCTACTACAGTGAAGGGCTCTAGAGGCCACCCTAGATTGGCTAGTGTACAAGCATTTCCAAACCTGCACTGAGTGCTGTTCCACTCTATCAGCTGTTTTCACAAAGCATGCGCTGATTCCTTTTCCTGGGCTCTAGGTGCAGAGCTGTGCTCCTAAAAACTGGAAATCCATGCTGCCCTTTCCAAAGACGCTTCTGATTCCTGATGCCACCTTTCTTCCTGGAAGGTGCTCTGTCCAGGAGCCTGTGCAGCCACAGCTCCAGGAGCCCCCAGGACCTGTCTTTATCCCTGTGGGGCCTGGAGTGACAAGTCACATGTGCCTTTGGGAATGCAGGGCCCATAGACATGTGAGGACAGGAGACCCCCTCCCAAGCCATCTGACATTCAGGTTCAACTGTCCTCTTTCCCTCTGCACTGTCATCTTTCCAGCCAGAAAGTACCTGCTCATTTGTCCTGCATATATACCTACTGCACATTCTGCCCCTCTTCCTAATAGGTGCCCTGGGCTGTCTTTGTCCACTGGAGACTAAGTGGGCTTTAGGGTTCGTTAATGCTTCAGGGTCTGAGGGTGGATTTGTGGTATCCTCATGGCTCCATGCAATCCTTGATAAGCACACCATGAACCATGAGTGAATACATTTTGCTATCAATTTATACAGGGATAGTTCATATTAGGATTTCAAATTATCACACATTGGTGAACTCACAGAGCCCTTGCCAGCACAAGGTGGTCAGCAAGGCTGCAGCCGAGCACATATATCAGGAACATGTTTCTCAACCTCTTTCCTGTCCCAGAATCAGGCTCATGAGATCCTATGCTAAGTACACTCCAGTTCTGATTCTGGACTCTCAGTTGGTTTTCAGATTCTTTATCTGGGTTTACAGCTGGGGATTTAGTTCAGTGGTTTTGCCGCCTGCTGCACAAGTGCAAGGACCCAATTTTGATCCCTGGTACCAAAAAAAAAAAATTCATGTTATCTGAATTTACAGTGTGTAACCCTGGGCCAGTCACTTAGCCTCATCTTACCCTCAGTATCTCATCAACACAGTGAAGATATTAGTACTACTGCATCTCAGAACTGTGCAGCCTGGAAGATAACGCATGTAAAATGCTTGGTGCAAAAAAAAAAAACTGGGGCCAAAGATTTAGCTCAGTGGTGCCACCACCTGCCTGGCAAGCACAAGGTCCTGAGTTCGATCCCCGGTACCAAAAAAACCAAACAAAAAACATGGTGCAGGGCTGGTGAAAAGGATTCTCTGTAAATGTCCATGCTTTCAGTATTACACACTTACCTAAGGTCATACAAACACCCTCCATCTTAGGCTGTTTTAGATAAACCTTAAGGTCAAGTACTCTCAGTGCTGGCCAGGGTCCATTTATCAAGCAATCACTCCCAGTATAGCATGGACCCTACTGGGTGTGAGGGTGAAACTAAAGGTCCTAGGTGGATCCTTACAACCTCAGGGAAAGACTACCTGTTCACAGAGCAGTAAGATTAGAGCCAGGAGAGCAGCAACCCTTGGTCCTTGGTCAGAAAACAAAGCACCTGATCTGCTCGACAGTGGAGATGAATCAACGGTCTAAGTGAACACTGAGGCCTTGATCCTCGCTGACCAGAGCATAAACAAGGAGTAAAGCAGAGGTAGGTCTGCTTCGATACCACTGTGTAACACTTAAGAGTTATTCCAGTAGGACTCCAGGGCCCAGACTTTCTACTGCCTTAAAGTTGGCAGGTGGAAGCCAGGCTAATGAGACCTGCAAGGAAGCCGAGACCTCCATGCAGGCAGTAAGTCATCAAGGAACAGGAAGCAGCACTTTGGGGAGGGACAGAAATGTCCTCTGTACCCAGCAGGGAGTGCATCAGACAGAGGCTGATGAGAGGACAAGTGGGAGCTGTCTGCAGGGCTGCAGCACAGGTGGCCGGGCACAGGTAGAGTTCTACTCGTGGTGGAGCTGAGGGCATGGGGAGACTCCTCACACCATGGTGCTGATCCAGTCCCCAGTGCACAGGTGTGTCCACAGATGCTGTGGCAGGACTGAGCAAACGTGCGCTGCGGAGTTGGTAGCACTGCCACTCTAAACTTAAATCGGTGCTTCTTAAGCATAAAGCCTCCAGCCATACTGGGAGTTTCCCCAGCAGGAGGGTGAGAAGAGCAAAGCAAAGGGCTTTGGGGCTGAAGCTAGGTCTGTAGAGCAGGGCTGCCATACCAGGAGGGTCTATGCCTCGCACTCAGCTGCCTGGCTGCTGCTTGAGGCTTCATGGAGCTGCAATGTGGCTGCTAGATTTTAAATGGTGCCTTCCCTGTCACACTACAATGACCCAAGTGACACCACTGAGGTGGCCAGGACTGACTGCTGGCTAACAGCCCACGACACTGGCTATTGGAGAGCAGCCCCTCTCTGACGTGTCCATTGCCACAGCCGCTCCCCTCCATGAAGAGCACCGAAGTCTGTCCACAGAGCCGTCTGATGCCAGTCGAAGGAGGAAGCCCAGTGTTGGACAGGACTGGGTTCCATACGCACTTTATTCAGGAGGAAGGCAGTTCAGGACACAGCAGCTTCTGACTTAGGTCACGTGTACAGCAGGTCAAAGTGAACATTTGTAGTTCAGCTACAGTCAACATTATTTCAATCTCAAGCTTCTGTCCAAAAGTAACTGGGATCTTTTTCAAACTACTTCTGGAATGAAAGTTTCAAAGTCCACCAGTAATCACAGGGTGCAAACACAATGAAATATAAAACCGAAATTAGTACTAATATTCTGTGATTAGTAGGTCAGTTTATTAGCTGTTTTAGTAAAATAAAAATTTGCTTACACAGTGACACACGTGGATGGAGACTCCGCTAGGGATGAGCAATCAATGAGTGGGGCAAGCCGAGCACACAGAGGCGGGTGTGTGGAGATCCTCAGCCCACATGGTGTGAGGCGCCTCCCAAGTACCGCTGCCTGAAGCTGCCACTTGCAGAACACACTGGGTGGCTGTTTTCAAGCTTCGCAGGGGAATTCTTTTGCTGGGATGATATTTACTCCAGGACCTCCTGCCCTTTTGCAGGCCTCTTCATTCTGGAGTAGGGACTTATGGTGTCATCCATCACAAAATCATACAGCACTTTCCCCCAGGAATTGTAGTGGGGCAGGTTGTCGTAGTATTCTGCGGCTATTTTCCTCACCTGGACAGGAAATGACACAGCGAAGTGAGCAGTGAGGCCATCAAAGGTGACAGGTGAGTGCTCCACACAAACAGGGAAGGACCCAGCACCAAACCTTCCAGAGGGGCAACGACTCTGCTTGCAGCCCTCTAGATCTTCAGAGGGTCTCATCAAAGGATGATCTAAGACCTCCCCCCCACACACAAATAGGCCTACACCATAATCTACTGACTAGGTCAAAGCCAGAAGCAGGTAGCTCATTGTCACAGCTACAGCCAGACGACAACAGCTTTGCAAAAGCACAGGTCCACATAAGCAGCTGACTCGTGACACTCCTGAAGACTAAGTCTACCTTAGGAGTCACAATAAAAAGAGAAAGTTGATCATCTGTACATATTTTAGAGCAGTGAGATGAAAAACTAATAAATTCCTCAATATTAGGAGGTTTTAATTCTAGGGAATTTATTAAGCATGTGTCTGATTCAATTCAAATGGTACCATAATATATGTCTGGATATCTGTGTACTTTGCAATGTTATCAACAAATGGAAAAATACACATTTAAAAGTCATTTATGAACTGCAAAACTGTGAAAGTACACACACACACACACACAAAAAACCCAGCCAGTGATGTAGGTCTGAGGTAAAGCACTTGACTGTCATGCACAAGGTCCTGGGTTCGGGGCCCTGTATGGTGCTGCTCATGGTGATGCACACCTGTCATCTCAGTATTCAGGAAGCTGAGCCATCAGGATTAACTGAGACCAAGAGTGTGAGAAGAGCCTGAGGAAAATAGCAAGACACCATTGCAAACAGAAAAATGAAACAAAAAACCCTACAATATAAACCGTGAAATAAAGATATTAAAAACCTTGTTACTGATAAAAATGTTCTAAGATTGACTATAGTGATGATTAGATTACACAACTCTATGAATATATTAGAAGCACTGAAATGAACACTATAAATGAGTAAACTGCAGGTGAGTTACATTTAATAGAGCTGTTAAAAAGCACTACTGGGCCGGGGATTTAGCTCAGTGGTTCTGGCGCCTGGCTCGCAAGCACAAGGTCCCAAGTTTCATTCCCGGTACCAAAAAAACAAAAAAAAAAAACCCAAAAAAACAAAAAACACTACTGCATACTTGTTAATGATGCAATAGTATTGAATGTAACTGTCATAACTTATGCAATAAATACTAGGAGTTACTGAAGAAAGAAAACAAGCTTCTCTTCAACATGTATCATGAGAGGAGGAAAATGAAGACGCAGCTCTCTGGGGCTGTGTGTCCATTGAACTGGGGAACAAGCAGGCACCACGGAGTGGGAGGGAGTGAGCAGTTACCACTCACATCTGGGGCCTGAGGTCACACAGCCTCTGAACTGCAGCGTTTCCAGAACCAGGACTAAGTAAAAGCAAGGGGCTCTTGAGGAAAATCTCTTTAGTTGAAAGGGTGCCTGGCTTTTTCTTTAAACCACCTCCCTTCAAAAAATGACCCACTTTGAAGCTGGCCCCAGAGGCGCCACTCTGGGGCTGCACAGGGCACAGTGGCCCCGTGGCGGGGGCAGCCTCACTGCACCACCACCCCAGTCCTCCTCCTTGGACTGTGCTGGGCTTTTCTCCCAGGCTTCATTCTGAATAGTACAGCCCACTGAAGTGTGGAAAGAGGAGTGAGATGAGCACTCAGGCCCTGGACCAGTTTCACCAATGACTCCCCTATGATCCATGTTCCTTCCATGTGTGCTGTATGTGATAAACCCACAAGCTGTTCTCCTCACAGACAGAACCTTTGTTTGTTTTGGGTACCAGGGATAGAACTTGGGTCCTTGTGCTTGCGAGGCAGGTGGCAGAACCACTGAGCTACATCCCTGGGCCAGACAGAACCTTTGGAAAGTAAGTTGCAGAAGTTGTGTGATAACCACTCCTTACATTTCATCCCCAAATATTTCATCATGTGCTACCAAAGGACATTCTCCTTCAAAGCCACTGTTATCAGAACTACAGTGCTGAAATGTAACACTAACAGAATACTACCTAAGATACAGCTCAGATTCAGTTTCCCCAAGCACTCATGTATTTTGTAGCTTTTGCTTTGCTAAATTGGGGATCCAAAGCAACAACCAAATGTTGCACTAAGTTGTCATGTTATGTCAATGTTTAAAAATTTGGGCATTTAAAATAGCTTAAAATCACTGGTTGGGGTTCCTTTAAATAATACTTTAAAAAAAATGAAGAAGACCTACTATTCTATTTTATATACATTATTAGCCTTTTTACAATTGCAGCAAGATTTTTTTTTTTGTGATAGGGACTATGTAGTCCAGGCTGGCCTTGAACTCAACACAGAGCCCAAGTTGATATTTGGACTTTATAACAAAACCACCATCTGAATTTTAACAAAGCTTCTCATTTTAATAATGATGAATGTTACATCACTGAAGAACTGGTATATACTTCACAGAGGGATTTAGTTTTATATTTGAGTTACTTTACCAAATAGCAGATTTTACACATGTTCTAACACAATCCTAAACTAACTCCAAAGCTCGCCTTAGGATGCTACACATGATACTTATGAACAAATCAATACTGTATGACCATAGGAAACTAAAATGCATCAAATCGATACTCACCAGTGGAAGGCTCTTTCCAGGAACATTGGGAAAGTCGTGATGTTCATTGTGATAACCCACATTGAAGGTCAGTAAATTCAGAGGCCCATAATATGAGTAAGTTTCATGTCCCTTTAAGAACATGTAATGTTCGGCTATAAAATGTCCAGAAATCGGGTGTAAGCCCAGACCAAGAAGAGATCCTGCCAACATGTAGACTAAAGACTTAATTCCTAAAATGTGGTAAACTAGAATGTCAAAAGTGATTTGGACCACAGTATTGATAATTTCAAGATAAGAAATTGGTTTGGGATTGATGAACAGAGGTCGAAAAGCATAAAAGAGAGGCTGAAGAATAACCCATAGAAACTTTCTGAAAGTGGTACAGAAGAACCAGCCCTCAAAATCAGTAGGAATATCCACATCAATGCCATCAGCTCCAAGGTATCTATGGTGATCCATGTGATATCTCTTAAAGGAAACTGAATATGGAACCCCAATGGGAAGATTAGCAACCATTCCAAACCAGCGATTCCACAGTGTCTTGTGGTGGCCAAAGGTGAAGTTGTGGGAAATCTCATGAATAGCCAGAGTCATTGAGTGGTTAATGCAGCTGCCAAAGACATAGGCCCAAAATACGACCCATTTCCAGTCCAAGTCTTTCACTAAGTAAAAGGCAACGAGCTGGGTGAGAACCATCACGATAATAATCCATATCAAGTTGTGATCAGGTTTCATCAAGGATTTTATCTCTGGATACTTTGCTGTAAGAAAAACAAACAAAATCATGCATAGAGAAGAGCACATAATTGTTCAGCAAGTATAATTAAATTAACACATTAATTAGGTTTTTCTCCAAATTATAACTTTCTTCATCAAGTATTTATCCACTACAATGAACAAATTTTGCTAGTAAAGCTATACTACAACAGTAACAATTTGAGAATTTATGCCAGAAAAAGTAGCCACAGCATCTAGAATGACTTTGGCAGGGGAAGGGGTGGGGGGTGGGAGGTGTGTACCAGGAATCAAACTCAGGGACTCACATTTGCCATCCAGACCTGTACCGCTCAGCTACATTCCGACCCCGACCATATATTTTGTATTGAAGTATAGTATATGTTATATTTAGACAGAACTCCAGCATCTTTAACTCACATAAGACATAGTTGAATCAACACACATATCTGATAAAAGATTTTTTTAGGTAGTCCAAAATCATGAAATGTATTTTCATGGTTCTCTCAAACCAATTTACTCCAAGTAATCTTGTACTGGATTTTGACTAGATTGTACTCGTATATAAAAATCAACGGTACAACGGTGCCAATACAAGGAAAGGGGAGTGCTGGATTATGATACAGTGCTGAACAAGTGGTTACCACCCTGAAAAAGAATGGATACCTTCGCTATACCACACACAGTCAACTGAAATGAGTCACTGTTCTAACTATAAAACTCAAAAGGAAAAGCGGGGCATAGTGGCCTAACACTGTAACCCCAGCACTGGGGAATCTGAGGCAGGAGGGCTGTCCAGAGTTGGAGGCCAGCCTGAACTACAAAATGAGACCCTACTCAAAAGGGGAGGTGGGGCTCAAAAGAAAACATGGGAATAAGTCTCTGTGATTTTTTTTCCATACTATACCAAAAGCACAAATGAAAGAAACAACAGATAAATCATAATGCACTGCATCAAAACCTTTTCTGCTGCAAATGATACCATCAAAAAAGTGCAAAGAACCCATAGAATAATAAATTATAAGGGTGGGAGGTTTAGCTCAGTGGCGCCTGTGCCTGCCTGGCAAGTGCAAGGTCCTGAGTTTGATCCCCAGTTCCGGAAAAAAAAAAAAAAAAAAGAAATCATATCTGCATAATGTCTATCTCATGAGGGAACTGTAAACAGAATATATAAAACATTCTTAAAACTCTTACAACTAATAATCCAGTTAAATAAATCCAGGCAAAGGGTGTGTATAGATATTTCACCAATAAAAGACATGAAAGTGGCCAATAAGCACATCAAAGATACTTAAATCTTCACTAATTTATATAAAGCACAGTACAACTTCATACCCACTACAATGGATGTAACAATAAAAACAGGCAATATCAAGATGTGGAGAAACTGGAACCCTCACACATTCCTGATGGGAATGTAATATGGTGGGCTGCTTTGGAAAAGTCTGGCAGTTCCTCAAAATGTTACACACCAAATTACTAATGACCCAGTGATTCTGCTCCTACTACCCAGGAGAAATGAAAACATACTTCCATATAGTATCTTGCAAATAAACATTTATAGTAGCATTATTCAAAATACATAAAAAAAGGGAAACAGCCCACCATATTGACTGAGCAAGTAAGCTGGGATAGTCACACAAAGAAACGATGCAAGGATACATGCTATAATGTGAACCTTAAGTATTAAGTAAAAGAAGCCATCACAAAAGGCCTAAGTATTATGATTTCATTTATATGAAATGTCCTTAACAGGCAAACTTATAGAGACAGAATGTAGGTTAGTGGTTGCCTAGGAATAGGGACGGGGATAGGGATTAGAGGATATGGAGACTGCTAAGGGGTTCAAAGATTTTTTCTGGGATAATGAAATATTCTAAATTGATGGCAGTAATAGTTTCATCATTCTGAACATATTACAAAATACAACTATACACTTTAAATGAGTGAATTTTATAATGTGTGATTTATATTCCAGTAAGGCTGTTTAAGGCTTCTCTGTAAAAGTATATCAGTAAAGGAAGAAATCCTTATTATTTACTCTTACTTGATAGCCCTCTCAGAGAGATGCCTTTTTTTCCCTCGATGGCACTGGGATTTGAACTCAAGTCTTCTAACAAGTTAGGCAAGTGCTCTACCAGGAGCTACCCCCCAGCCCAATGTCTTTTAAATGGAATTTTGGAGGGCTGGGACGCAGTTCAGTGGCTCCATGCCTGCCTGGGAAGTGTGCGGTCCTGAATGGAATTTTGGGGGAGGAGCAGGTACTGGCGATTGAACCCAGGGCCTTCACACTAAGCTACTTCCCCAGCCTCTGCTTTAAAAATTCTTTTACTTTGAGCCAGGGTCTGGCCAAGTTGCCTAGACTGGGCTTGAACTTCTGATCCTCTTGCTTCAGCCTCCCAGAGCGGTGAGATTACAGCTATGTGCCATCACGTCTGGCTCCTTTTAAATAGACTTTTAACATGAACCTATTTAAACATAAACTTTTTTTCTTTTTTTTCCGCAATGCTGAGAATTGAACCCAAGGCCTTTCACATGCTACACAGCATTCTACCACTAAGCACCTACCTTCCTAGAACCCAAATATAAGCTACTGTATGTAGAATTGATTGTTAAACAATAGATTTGCCCTTCTCAAAAAAACCTGGCAGAAAATACAGTATCTGTTATCATTTAAACATAATTTAAACTAATCTCTAGATCTTATTTTTGCTGATTATTCCACCTTCGATCCCTAAAATGAAACACTGAACAGTACTGTATTTATCCCTACTTGAAAATGTTGCATTTTCATTTAGAAACGCGTAGTTCTCTTAACTTTCCAACTGATACGGTTCAATGATAAGTTTGTGAGTAGAACACTTGCATTAAGCATCAATTAGTAGCTTTCTGCTTCCCTGATTTCTATATTAAAGTGATAGCTAAACTCCAGGGTTTGGGAATTCATTTCAGAAAGTTGACACCAGACTAAAGCAATATGTAAATACATAAAATATATTCTCATATCAAGTATGTGCAAGTGAATTTGCACAACATGTTTTCACTGTGAGGGAGACAGGGAGGGAGGGGAGGAGAGACAGAAAGAGAGAGGGAAAGGGAGTGTGTCACACACACCCATACACCCACACGTGCACGCGCGTGCGCACACAGCCTGGTGCAGTGGCGGATAGATGCCAGTACTCCCAGATACTCTATTTATCTTTTGGTACCGGGGATCGAACTCGGGTCCTTGCTCTTGCGAGCTAAATCCCCGGCCCTCTCCCAGATACTCTAAAGGTTAAGGAAGGTGGACTGCAAATTCCAGCCCAGCAATTTAGAGAGAAAGACTCTGTCTCAAAATAATAAATAAGAAGGGCTGGGGATGTAACTCAGTGGTAGAATATTCCTGGGTTCAATCCCAAGCATAAATAATAATCTATTTCAGGGGCCAGGGTGCGTAGCTCAGTGGCAGAGTTCTCAACTAATGAGAGAGGCCTGAGTTTGATCCCCAGGAAAACAGCCCATTTCAATGTGTTTTATTAACTCTTGTTTGTGAAAACACAAAATTTCTAACTTCAGATACTTTTGCAAAAACCGGGGCTTCCGTTTTCTTTCACTGGGCAAATAGATGTACAGAAGAAAAAAATAGGGAAATAGTGTGTGAGCCGAATTCTGGCTCCTGCTGGATGCTCCAAGTGCTGGTTTCCTTGATGTTTAAAGATACTGTATATTAGAAGTTAACTGCGTATTTGGGGAGGCTGAACCAGGAGGTCCTAAAGTTCCAACCCAGCCTGGGCAACCTGGCTGGACCCTGTCTCAAAAGAAAAAAATTAAAACGGCTGAGCTGTGGCTCAGCGCCAAGACTCGGGGTTCGGTTCCCAGTACCACCAAAAACAAAACAAAACCCTAAAATCCAAAACCCAGGCTCACGATCTTGGGGAGCGACCCGCCTCCCCACGAAGTCACCCGTCCGCAGCCCCGCGCGGGCGGAGGAGCAGGCGGCAGCCCGGCGAGGTCCGGCTCGGCGACGTCGACGGAGCCCGGCCTGCAGCCAGCTCTCTCCCGCCCGGCCGGGCCCGGCCTCGGGGCCGCAGACGTCGGCGCTTCCGCCCGGAACCCAGGACCCCACGGGCCGAGCCCAGCCCGCGCAGCCGCCCGTCCTCCCCGCGTCCCCGCGCCGCCGTAACGGGCCCAGCCGGGCGCGCAGGCCACGCAGGCCGCGTCCACCTAACGGGCCGCGCCTCACCCAGGATCTCGCGGCGCCGCGCGGCGTGCGGCTCGTCGGTGTAGACCCACTCGAAGTCCTCCCGCGACACGCGGCTCCCCATGGCGGCAGCTCGGGCCGCGCTCGCTCGGCTAGATCGGACGGCGGCGGAGGCTACTGCTCGCGTCTGCGGGCGACGCGCGAGGCCAGCGCAGCCCTTCACGCCGGGCCACGCCCAGAGCCGCGGCCCAGCCGGTCGCCGCCCCACGCGAGTGCGACTGCGCGCTCCGCCGCCTCCGGGGTCCTCAGACTGCGCCCCCCGGGCCCCGCCCCTCCTGCCGGCCCCGCCCTCGCCCGGGCGCCCCTCGCGGGCCGCGGCTGCGCACTCGCGCTTCCAGGCCACAGTCTGTGCCCGCCGGCGGGGCCACCGGTCGGGGTGTGCGAGCTCTCCCCCTGAGTGGACGGTGTCTCGGCGAGCTCTTCAGGGCGAACAGAGCCTCTCGGGAAACAGGCTCACCCGCTGTAGGTGGGGAAATGCGGGGCCTTTGTCCTCCTTTTGTACCCATTTCTCCAGCGGGAGGACGGCACCCACGCGCCCGGGAGTCGCGGAGTCCTCGCCCGCGCCCCCTTCCGGAACGGCGGGGCGGCTCCGCTCCCAGATCCGCGACGCTGCTGCCTCGGAAAGGAAATTGGGGGCCAGAGGTGCCGCTCGGCAGGAGGGAGACCCCCCCAGCTTAGCCCGGAGGAAGGCACGGGTTCCATCCCCATCACCGGAAATAAAATAAAATAGAAATGCAGGACAGAAATGTTTACTAGGATTAGAGACAAACACACACCCCCACCCGGTCAGGCAGGTCCCCGGATCACAAGCTGGTGTGCAGAGCTAGGCCGATGGAGGCGTCCTCGTACCCAACCTGCAAGATCTGACCGGAAACCCGCGCGAGACTCTCGGGTTCCTTACAAAATGAAGGGAGAGACACATAGATCACAGGCTGAAAAGATGAGTCAGTCAATTGCAGTGTGTTGACCTTATTTAGATTCTGATTCAAATAGTCTAAAAATTAATAGATCCCTTAATTTAAATACCAATTGGGTATGTTAAAGTGTTGAAAAATTATAGTATTATGATTATAGTTTCTTAAATGAGTTCTTACCTTGTAGATTCATATCAGAAAAACAGTAACCATACAAGTTTATACTGTCCCACCACTAAAAAAATGCAGTTATTTCTGTAGTAATATGAAATAAATACTACTTCTGAAAGGGACTGTTAGGTGAAAACCAGCAGGCATGAAATATACATAATAAATTATTCAAAACACACCCAGGAAATGGTTACATTGTGGTGGAGTAAATAAGGGTTAGGAAAGGGTTTTCCCCCCCATTAAATCCTATTGGAAGTTAAAAGAATGTTGATGGTGAAAAGGTGGATTTTGACATTCTAAGAAAAGGAAAAGATTCGAGCTGTAAAATTGTTACAGAGACTGAAATCTAATTACAGGTAGGCATGCTGTTTGTTTGTTTTGAGACAGGGTGACACTGTAGTTTAGGCTGGCCTTAAATTCACCACTTGGCCCAGGCTGACCTTGAACTCTCAGTGATCCTCCTGCCTCAGCCTCCAGAGTGCTGGGATTGTAGGTGTGCACCACCAAATCCAGCTGGTCATGCTTCTTTCGTTTGCAGGGTTTTTTTAAAGTTCTTAATGTGCATGTACAACCAAAAACAGTGAACTAAGGGAAGTATAGACAGATAAATACAACGCTTTGAAGTTTTCACAGTTCTTAATGTTATTGGACATGGTGACGCACACCTGTGAATCTGGCACTCGGAAGGCAGAGGCAGGAGGATCATGGCAAGTTAAAGGCCTGTATTGTGAGTTCCAGGCCATCCTGAACTATGTAGTGAGAGCCTCTTGCTTCTTAATGTGCTATCTTACCTTTCACATCTTTTCACTGCTCTGGTGGGGTGATCTGTGAGGAACTAGTAGCACCAGTTATTCTGAAAAGACTCTATTCCCTTGCTGCCAGAAGACTGCAAATATGGATAATCCCTGATGATATTAGGAAACCTCAGATGACCTCAGTCAGACTTTTGAAATCAAGTTCCTTCCCTGTTTAATATTTTCATTGGCAAATCATTTTATGACCATTTTGATAACTCAAACAAGATCTAATAATCATATTGCAAGGTACTGACCTGTAGGAAGTTTTTAAAACTTTAATTCATAGAAGAGAAATACAGAAAACATCTTTATTCACTTCAAACCTTCATCACAAGAATTTAATGCCTTCTATAGCTGAACACTAACAAACTCCTCCAGTTAGGAATTAGTTACCAATAAACACCTCTTATTTTGAAATGTATTCCTGGATTGGAAAATTAAGACATTTAAATTTGCATTTAAAACCTTCACAAGTTTGTGTGTGGCTGTTGCGCAGTTCTCAGGTGCTGGAGTCTCCTTCTGGAGGTGGTTTCAAGGTTCTTTCCATCCTGAGCAAAGAACAGGCCAGGACAAGCACGGGTGGTAGCAACGTTTTATTAAAGGTAGGAAAAGAAAGACTGCAGAGTGAGTTTGGGCCAGCAAGAGGAGGAAAAGAAGTGTGCCCTACAGCGTGAGGGCGGCCACCATGCAAGCGAGAACAGTGGCCCAAAGCTCAGCGTGGACTGGCCTTTCTGTACCGCCCGCTCCTCAGACTGCTGTCAGCTCAAGGCCGTCCTACCAGAAATCTGCTAGAGTTCCAGGGAGAAGTCTACAGGCAGGGCTTTGGGAACTGTTCCCCCGGAATGTGTCCTGGGATTGTGAGGGACAGGTCACGCCTACTTCCCCAGCCAGCCACGCCCTAATCCCCAGTCTCGTCCCCGTGGACTTGGTGCAGGGGACGCTCCACCCCGCCAACCTGGCCTGAGCCCTGAGGGCCTTCGGGGTGCAGCCTCTCCTGCCCTGGGTTGGGGGCACTGTGTGCTCCTTTTCCTGCCGGCCTCATTAGTCTGCCTTATGATGGTCGATCATAGGCAGACCCTTAGCTGAGCTCCTGATCCGCTGGGGGCTCTGCGGCATCCTCAGGCCCAAAGGTGTAGACTTTCCCCTTAAGGATTGCCAATCAACTGTTTATAGCGGCTGGCTGCAAGCGGGTGGGCTGTGAAGGCAGGAGTTCCGGTCATCAGAGGAAAGTCTGGCCACAGGCCTCTGTCCGTCTGCCTCTCATTTGGCCTGGAATGCAGTACTGGGGAAAAAGCAGACCAAAGAAAGAGATTTACGATGGTCTCAAAAGAAGCAGAAAGGGGTTTGATAAAATTCAGTGTCTAATGGCAATATCTATGTAAGGCCCAACAGAGATGATGTGTCAATAAAATGAGAGGATTTCACATGGTTGATAGGAGGCAAATTAATCCATAAAAATATTTTGTTTTTACACATCAACAACCAGTTAAAAGATAGAATCAAATCCATAGAAAGATAGCATTTATGAAAACATAAAAATGTACCTTGAAACAAATCTAACACCGAATATGGAAGACCTTCAAGATCCAATGTTAACAACTGGGGGGAGGGTGCTGGGGACTGAACCCAGGGCTGGCACGAGGTGAGCAGCGCTCTGCCAGTGAGCTGCACCTAGCCCCATAATATTAACACTGGATTAAAACACACCAAAGACTAAAGAACTAGACCATGTACATAGACTGGAGGACTAAATATCACGAATATCCTCAAATTTGGTGTTCTAACTAAACTTCCAAATGGGTTTTTTGTTTTGGTTTGTTTTGGTTTTTTTGTTTTGTTTTGTACCGCGGATCGAACTCGGGTCCTTGCACTTGCACAGCAGGCGGCGAAACCGCTGAGCTAAATCCCCGGCCTATTGGGGTTTTTTTTTGGTACCAGGGATCGAACTCTGGACCTTGCGCTTGCGAGGCAGCCGGCAGAACCAGAGCTAAATCCCTGGCTCCAAATGGGTTTTTGATGGAACTTGATAAGCTGGTTTTAAAATTTATATGAAAAAGTAAAAGGAAGAAGAACCACCGATACCAACCCAGAGGAGAGCAAGGCACACCTTGCCAGAAGCTAGGAAGTCTTGGGCTACCCCTCCCCAGTGGATGTGCACTGGGGCTTGGGGTAGCATCACCAGAAGACATGGGCAGCCTGAGGTGGGCAGAGGGGTGAGGGAGGGACCCTGGCTTGTACTTCCCTTCCTTGCTCTGGTGTCTCCCATTAGCCCAGTGCCCAAGGGCTGGGACCTGGGCTGGGCAGGTGAGGACGTGGCAGAAGCCCAGTATGAGGGGAAATGTCCGCCTGTGTCACTTAGCAGGAACATGTGAAACACTTCCCAGGCAGACAAGGGGACAGCTCTATGGATCCCTGTCCTCTGAAACAGTGGTAACTGGGGAAGGTTTTGCAGATTTCTGGGAACCTTCTTAACACCCCTAGAAAGTGCCCTAAAGGAATGCTGCAAATGAAGAAACCCAAGGAAACTCAAACCTGGGTGAGAGCAGCAAGTGTGTCAGCCTGGCAGACGCTCCTCAGGCAGGGCTGGCCATCGTGACCAGGCTCTGTGCCCCACTCCCGGGCAAGGGGGCTTGTGTCTCCCAAAGGGCAGGCGGCTGTGCTTCTCATCCTCCACCTACTCCGTGGCAGGGCTGAGTCAAGGTTCTGCTCACCTTCCCTGACTTGCAAGTGGAGTGGAGGCCTCTCTGCCTCTTTCCAGCTTCTGTGACTTCTGGACCATGAGGGGAGCAGCCCTCCTCCCCATTCCATTTCTACCTTGTAGGCAGCCAACCAGGGGCTGGAACCTCTCAAACTCTGAGCCAAAATAAACCTTTTGTCCTTTAAGTTATGTATATCAGGTATTTTGTCCCAGCAATGGAAACATGACTAATAAATGACTGAAACTATTATTATTATTATTAATTATTATTATTATCATTATTAATGTGGTGGTGGTGCTAGGGATGGAATCCAGGGCCTTGTATATGCTAGGCATGTGACCAACCACCAAGCTACATCTCCAGTTCCTAAACTGTCCACCAAAAAAAAAAAATAGAAGACATCCAAAGAAACAGGAAGTGTGACCTATGCACAGTGAAAAAAGAGGTGACAGAAACTGCCTGTGAGAGGGCCCTGATGTCAGCCAATATAAATATGTTCAAAGGACCAAGGAAAACCTTCAAGAAGGAAGGTGTGCTGATAATGTCTTATCAAACAGAGAACATCAGGAAAGAGATGAGAATCACAAAAAGATGCAGAGGGAAAATCTGAAGTTGAAAACC